GTTGGATTACTTTTTTCATGTAGATTATATTTCTTGCAATACTAAATAAATTGATTGTTTAGAGAATTATCCCACATTAAAAATGGAAGTATTAACCAAGGTGGTTGGTGTGAGTGGTTCAGCACTCTCATTCCTTAAGAGAGGTCAGGGGTTTGATCCCCGCTCTCGTATGGAGTCACCACTTTGGCCAACACTTTACCCTTTACGGGCCGACCTGGTGTGAGCGGGGATTAGTCTGGGTTGTAGTTAAGGCTTAAAGGTGCCACCCATAATTAGGGCCCATCCAGGACCACCTTGTGGTTCAGACAAAAAAAAATGGAAGTATTGCTTTAGAAGTTTAAATTATTTGAGCTCTTTATTCATTATCTAATGTCTAACCGATATTCTAAACTATTCTAATTTATGAGAGGGGGTTCAAATTTGGATGCAATGGGGCCGGCACACGCACCCCAGCCATTTGTAGTTGTGACATTTAGGCTGAGATGGGTGTATGATGAATTGGATTTACAAAATTGGGCCACCAGCGCATTTACTTTCGGAAGAAAGTTGTGATCCAGCCCATATCGATAGGTTGTAGAGCCTTTTCAGTAAGCTTCCCCGGCAAGCTGTGTGTACTTTGGCGCCCCAAAAACGCTTTTGAAAATATTAATTATCTCCTTCTTTCCCATTGTCTTTTCTCGTGTTCTGTTTCTCCTTCTGTGTTTTGGGATCAGTTGGGGTATAGGAGCACACGTCGTGGTCGTGTAGGTACTATTAGCGAAGGCATGGAGCAACAGAGCAACCAGAAGACGGCCCAACAACAAGATGAACACGAAGAAATGCAGCACGGCCCTGTACCCGTTGAACAACTTCAGGTAACCCATTTCAAATTTACACTCATTTCGAACAATTCAGCGGCTTCCCCAAATGGGTTCTTCTTCAATATGCTTCCAATGGTTTATCCTGTTTAGATTCGTCTGTTCCCTTCAAAATTGAAGAAAGGGTTTTTCTTTTTCTCTGAATTCGGTTCGAATTTCTGCAAATTGTTGTTCAAGATTCTATATTTCATATGGGTTCTGCTATTTATTCTCGTTTTGACCATCGTACGATGAAATCCAACTGTGTTATCATTTTACTATTAATTATCAGTCTTGGGTTTTGCTCTTTACCTGCAATGCGAAACCCTAGCCAACGGCCTATCTCTTTCTGGTTTTGATAGTCGTATGGGCTTGGTTTGTTACAGATCAGTTCATCCCGGTAGAGATGAAATTTCTAATCTGGATTGCGTATTTTCACTGACCAATGATATTTCGATCAAAGTAGCAATCTTTCTTTAATTGATGATGGAATGTTTTCATTTTTTCAAATAAAGACGTCAGGCATAGCTTCCATTGATGTAAAGAAGCTTAAAGATGCGGGTCTTTGCACAGTTGAAGCTGTTGCATACTCTCCAAGAAAGGATCTTCTGCAGATCAAAGGAATCAGCGAAGCTAAAGTTGACAAGATCATTGAAGCAGGTATGTCATTCATTGTTATCTATTTTTCTCGTTTTCCCACTATTTTTATACGTGAAGCTATTCACTATTTGCGATAATTTGATATCCCATTGCCTGGCTTGTTTCATTTCATTGACAGCATCCAAACTTGTGCCTTTGGGTTTTACTAGTGCTAGTCAGCTCCACGCTCAGAGACTCGAAATCATTCAGATTACTTCCGGATCAAGAGAACTTGATAAGATATTGGAGGGTCAGTTTCCACTATTCTTCTTTTTTTAACCAAGACTTGTCTCCAATTTCAAGAACTTGCAAGTTCTTAGAATTGAGTCCTTGTTTTACCAATAGGAATGTAATACTTTAAACTTCAGTTGATATTTCTGTGGTATCAAAGTTTCCGCGTGGTTTTCTTCTGACAGGAGGAATCGAGACTGGATCTATTACTGAGATATATGGTGAGTTCCGTTCTGGAAAGACCCAGCTGTGTCACACGCTTTGTGTCACTTGCCAAGTAAGTGACTTTCTTTTCTCTTTAACATGTTGTGCTGGTACAGAAACCACCGAACTACAACCTATAATTTCAATTCATTATAGTGCACTTCTGATTCATTTTGATGTTTCAGCTCCCATTGGATCAAGGAGGCGGTGAGGGAAAAGCAATGTACATTGATGCTGAGGGTACATTCAGGCCACAGAGACTCTTACAGATAGCAGAGAGGTTTGATATAAATATTTTGAAGTGAACTTGCTCTTGTGATTTATGTATGCTAGATGGTTAATGGTGTTGTTGTTACAGGTTTGGACTCAATGGTGCTGATGTCTTGGAGAACGTGGCATATGCTAGAGCTTATAACACGGACCATCAGTCAAGGCTCTTGCTTGAAGCAGCTTCCATGATGGTAGAAACAAGGTGTAACACTTTATCATTTTTTTTCTCTTGTCTCGTATAGAGATTTGTTAGTTGTCATGAATCAAGGTCTGTCGTGAACCTCTCAGTTCTAGTTATGCACTTGTTTAGAGTTTGGTCTAGTCTTCAACTTTTTAGGTTAAGACTAATTATTTAACGGATGTCGGTTCTGTAGGTTTGCTCTCATGATAGTAGATAGTGCTACAGCCCTCTACAGAACAGATTTCTCAGGAAGAGGAGAACTTTCAGCCCGGCAAATGCATCTTGCAAAGTTTCTACGGAGCCTACAGAAGTTAGCAGATGAGGTTAAAATTTTTACAGCTTCACTTATAAAACATACTCAGACCCCCTAGTTTTAGCTTTGTTATTTATTGGTATTTCCCTTTTTGTACACTGTGACTGCAGTTCGGTGTGGCTGTTGTTATCACAAATCAAGTAGTTGCACAAGTGGATGGTTCTGCAATCTTTGCCGGGCCTCAAGTTAAGCCTATTGGTGGTAACATCATGGCGCATGCTTCCACAACAAGGTTTGTCCTTCTAACTTCATTCTATACCTTCCTCCTAGAACAAATTACTCTTGTGTTAGCATTTCTAATCACTTATATCTTCTTATGATAGGCTTGCTGTCCGGAAAGGAAGAGGCGAGGAGCGGATCTGTAAAGTAATAAGTTCTCCTTGTCTGGCTGAGGCCGAAGCACGGTTTCAGATCTCTCCGGAAGGTGTCACCGATGTCAAGGACTAGTACACTTCAGCTCTTGCTAAAACTTTTGCAACATCTTGTTCATGTATTCTTGTTGTATCTTTCTTGTAAAGGGTCTGCAAGGAACCTAGCAAAATGTCACAAGTTTGTAATTGTTTTTTTGGTCTACAGTTGTATTCAATATTTGAACAGTTTGTCAAAAGCTTATAAAATTTTGGGTTAATCGCAGCAATGGTCCCTCAACTATACCCGTAGTTACACTTTGGTCCGTCAATTCAATTATTAGTTGCAGGGGTCACTCAACTAGGTGCTATGTTGCACCAGTAGTCCTTCCGTCAAACTCTGTTAAATTTTCTGTCAAAAATGAGGGTAAATTTGGAAATTCATCCACAACCCTCCCTTCCTCCACAATCCCCCATTGCTGCAACAGTCGACAAAGCTCGCTACCACAACACAACCCACACCCACCATTTCTCTGCCCACTACGTCCCCTTCAACGGCGACCCTTCCTCTGCTGCCGCCGTCGACTTCGAGTCCTACTCCCTCGATGAGATCGTCTACCGATCCGACTCCGGCGGCCTCCTCGATGTCCAGCACGACATGGCCACCCTCAAGAACTACGACGGCAAGTACTGGCGCGACCTCTTCGACTCCTGCGTCAGCAAGACCACCTGGCCCTAAGGCTCCGGCATCTGGAGCAAGAAGGAGTGGGTCTCCGCCTTCAAAGATAACTCCAATCTCTTCTGGGCTGAGCGTATGCCGACTCCAAATCCTTTGATTGAACCCCAGCAAATGATTTAGGGACATGAAAACCGGCACACAACACACACAATTGAGGCATGTGGCTTCCTTGATCAGAGGTGTAATACTAATATAGGCTTCATTTTTTGTTGGTCCAGATGCATTCTTCTTGCGATATTAATTGTCATAATTAATTGTATCACTGATTTAAATTAAAATTTTTGCTAGATACGAGTTTCCTTGAGTTTTGCCGACTACAAGGAGTTGCTATCGGCTGATGTCCTTGAAATTGCGTTTCAAAGTCAGAATGATCAAAAGCTCACCGGGTTTGGTGGTGGAGATGTGAATTCGTACGGTGCAGAGGCTGGGATGTTGACCAAGATGGGTCCTCCAAGGGGGGGGGCAAGAAGAAGGGGAAGAAAGGGAAGAAGGTTAGCCCTGCTGTCTTGGGATTTAATGTGGTGAGTAACCGCATCATGATGGATGAGATCCAGACAGTGAAGGGGAAGAAAGGGAAGAAGGTTACTGCCCTTGGTTTTGATGAAAAAAGTTTAGATTCGTTTAGAAAGAAAACAGAAACCTCAAATACATTTGATTGGGATTAGCCACATCGATTTATTTGGCCAACTCTTCATAATCCTTCCTCCATTCATTAGGTTGCGGCAATGGAGGATTGTGGAGGAAAGGGAGTGTTGTAGACGAATTTCCGAATTTACCCTCATTTTTAACGGAAAAAGCCACAGACTTGACGGAAGGACTACTGACGCAACATAGCACCTAGTTGAGTGACCCCTGCAACTAATAATTGAATTGAGGGACCAAAGTGTAACTACGGGTATAGTTGAGGGACCATTGCTGCGAATAACCCTAAAATTTTCCAGTATGTTTTTTCCCCCATTTTGTCTGGTTATTTTCACTCTCATTTTAATGGTTTTGTAATGGAAATATAGACCTATTGCGTGAAGTACTCGTACACTTCAAAATTCAGAACCGTGGTAAAACTCAAGGGTAAAAAAACACTGCGTCACTAAAATTTTACTGCGACAAAGCGATGTTACAAACAGAAAGTAAAAGATGAAAAAAGAGAGGCAAAAGGACCAACCAATTTCGCACCGTTTTCAACTGTTTTCCGTAACCGAAACGGCGTCGTCCTGATGCTAATACACACAAAGAGCTCGCGTTTAAATCTTGTTTATCGTTGAAAGCCCGTACAGAAGAAAAATTGGAAGCGACTGGACTGAGAAATAGGCGTAGGCAATTGGGATGAAGACAACCACAAGCGTTGTCTGAACTGTGAATTGTGAGAGCGAGAGCGAGGAAGGTTGAAGAGATTAAGAATGGCAAGTAAGGCCAACCTTCCGAAATCTGGAGCCATTTCCAAGGGCTACAACTTCGCATCTAACTGGGAACAGGTGTTTGCTTCCTCTTCTTTCAATTTGGCACAGCCTCATTGCCCTAGATTCAAATTCACAATTTCAGTTCATATGCATCTGATTTTTCTCCAAAATTTTTCACTATAATTACACTTAGCAAGCTTCAGATCAGATCAGATCGGATCGGATCGGATCCTTTCGATATGGATTTTGATATAGTGATTTCTTTCTTCGCTCGCTCTGCAGAACACGCCATTAACGGAGCAGCAGCAAGCGGCCATTGCAACCCTATCGCATTCCGTCGCAGAGCGACCCTTCCCTCCCAATTTGGTCAGATTATTTACAAATGCAAATTCATCTATTTATTTCTCTTCCATTGTCCTCACGATTTTATCTCCATAATAACATGATTTTTTTTCTTTTGCGTTAATTCTAGGGCCAGGACCGTACAGGACATCAAAATGCCCTGTCCGTCTCCACCAAGGACAGCTCCTTTGGCTCGGAACACTCTGTTGCTATAGAAGCCGTTCTCGTCAACACAAATCAGGTAATTTTCACCATCACATTCCTTTGTCTCTTCCAATTCAATGGCTATTTCACTGCAACTTAGCTTCTTCTACCTGCAGTTTTACAAATGGTTTACAGATCTTGAAGCCGCTTTGAAGTCGGAGGTTAGTACTCAATTTTAGCACCAGTACAGCTTCTTATGATTTAAGCAAGTGTGCATATCCGCTCATTGCTCATCTTTTCTTTTTTTCTTTTGGGTTTTTCAACTTTTAAGACAGAGGAGAAGTATCGCCACTATGTAGACACTTTGACAGAGCGCATACAGACTTGTGATGGTATACTTGGTCAGGTATTGGTTATATATCTATTAGTATCATTGAAGGCACTTTTGTTTTAGACTGTTATGCTTGTTTGAAATAGCTGGGCTTCATTCTATGCAGGTGGATGACACCCTAGACTTGTTTAATGAACTGCAACTTCAGCATCAGGCAGTAGCAACGAAGACTAAAACTCTTCACGATGCATGCGACAGACTGGTGGGATTTTCTTTCTATTGTCACCTTTTTCTTTGTTACACTTTCCTTGGTGTCATGTTAAACCACTGTATGTGGTGCCTGAAAACTTGTTTAAAACTTGCTGTTTCCTCATTTCTCCTTTGCAGTTAATAGAGAAGCAACGACTGATTGAATTTTCAGAAGCACTCCGCAGTAAGCTGAACTACTTTGATGAATTGGAGAATGTAAGGTTTGAATGCTACCTTACCTAGAATAATATTCCTTTGTTGAGATTGTGGGGGTTTTTTTAATCTCTAATATACGTGGCAATGAATGGATATAAAAATATGAATTTTTTTTTCTGTGTTGAAGCTTTAAGTTTTCAAGAATCTGAGTCAGTTTCTCCTCAGTATGAATTTTCCTTTTTCAGGTGTTACTTTGTAGTGTTGTTCAAACTTAAACTGAAGTATATATTTTGAATCTTTGTGCCAAGGATCTTACCTTCTTTGGTTTGTTTAGATTTGTAAGAAAATAACATGATGCACAAAGTCTGTATGTAATACCATCCAGAGTATATATATTTATATTCATCATATAAATATATCGTATACATAATTCATGTTTAAATCTTCAATTTTGTGCAGATTGCGACCAATTTTTATTCTGCAAACATGAATGTTCTAAATGAGAACTTTCTCCCTCTTCTCAAACGCCTTGATGATTGCATATCGTAAGTGGGATACCTTTATTATTAGTAATTCTATGCCTCAGACACTATTCCGTTAAACACTTGCAAATTTGTCATTGATACTAGGAAACAATGAGCATTTAATAAGGATATATTATTGAGATTAAAACTTATTGTTTTCAAATGACTTGTTCCTACTGTAGGTATGTTGAAAGCAATCCACAATATGCAGAATCCAGTGTTTACCTACTCAAGTTTCGACAATTGCAGGTACAATTTGCCAGAGGTTTGATTAAGTGAATAGTATAGAATGGAGATTCATCTTCTTGTAAGATTTAGTTTGACCTTCAGTAATATATAAATATACATGTTTTGGACAGTCTCGAGCTTTGGGCATGATTCGTTCTCATGTACTTTCAGTTCTCAAAGGTGCTTCTTCTCAGGTAAAGTTACCATATTGAACTGAGTTACCATGAACACATCTTTCGTAGTAGGCTTCAGTATATACATGCATTAATGCATATTACACCACTTTGTATTATGTTCACTGTCTTGCATCAGGTACAGGCAGCTATCCGAAGTAGCGGGGGCAGCAAAGCATCTGTTTCTGAGGGTGTGGAAGCATCTGTTATATATGTCCGTTTCAAGGCAGCAGCAAGTGAGGTAACAGTAACCCCTTTTGGCTTGGAATGATCCATGGGATTAATTGAAATGTGGTTACTGCATTTAGCAGTCGGGGCCTGAAAGGCTGATTGCCAGTTGATCCTGGAAAACATTTTTACACTAGTATTTTTAATGTGGGAATGCAGTTCTGTGCATTAACTTCAAACTCATTTAAGTGTTGATGTCTAACAAATAGAATCTCTGCAGCTTAAGCCAGTGCTGGAGGAAATTGAAAGCAGATCATCAAGGAAAGAATATACTCAGATCCTGGCGGAATGCCACAAACTATATTGTGAACAGAGACTTTCCTTGGTGCGCTATATTTATTTATTTATTTTTAATTTTTGAAAAGGATCATTGGTTGTTTACTATATTAGTTTATTCATTTTATCACTTTTATCATATCCCCCTTTTTATCCAGGTAAGAGGTATAGTACATCAACGGATATCTGAATTTGCCAAGAAAGAGGCCTTGCCATCATTGACTAGATCTGGATGTGCATATCTAATGCAGGTAAGATATATATATGTTACAAGGATATTCATCGAAATAGACTCCTTTTAAAAAAACTGGCAATGAAGGACTTATAAATATAAACTGAGGATGGTATGATTCACCCTGTCCTAATTAAGGACAGCATAAGATATCTGTGATGTGTGATTTAATATGATATGCAACTTACTGTCATATATCAATTTATGCTGCATAGATATATTGAGTATGCTGTAAGGTCACACTTGGTACAATTTAGCAATCTTTGGATTCCATGTCATAGTTGATGAGAGTGATCATTTTCTGTTTTTATTTTATATTTGATCAAGGTTTTTCATTCTATTTTTCATTTTCAGAATATAATATAATAATTCATGTTGTAGGACAATAAAGTTTCTATTGTAATTGAATTTGAAACTCCTTATTTGCAGGTCTGTCAGCTTGAGCATCAACTTTTTGATCATTTTTTCCCATCTTCTGCAGAGGACGTTTCAAGTTTGGCTCCATTGATAGATCCTCTGTAGGTCTCCTTTTCTCTCTCCCTCTCTTTCTCTCTCTTGCTTTATTTAGAGGTTGACGTGTAATAACTGGGGTAAGGCAATCTCTGTTAAATTACATGTGCCAGAGGCGAGTCAAGCTTGATTGGTTTCTGTCTTTTTCGCTTTGTTCCTTGTTAGGCTGTTACATTGTAAGGTGGAGGTTGGCTCTTTGATTGGTTTATGTGCACTTTAAACTATATAATAACCTCCTTATGGTGATAACTTAATGCAGGTCTACATATTTGTATGATACACTGCGGCCAAAACTTATTCATGAAACAAATGTTGATTTTCTTTGCGAACTTGTTGATATATTGAAAGTTGAAGTCCTAGGTGAACAGTTAAGTCGGAGGAGTGAATCATTAGCTGGTCTACGTCCTACACTAGAGAGAATTCTTGCAGATGTTCATGAACGGTTGACTTTCCGTGCTCGAACACATATTCGTGATGAGGTGATTCCTGTTCCTGGGAGTTATTGTTTGTTGATTTCATTTCATATGACAGCTGTTACCTCTTTGTTATCATAATTCTTTCAATTTACTTTGTCCACTTCTATATTTTTTTTTTTTCTGCTTGATGATAGTGGTGATTTTCTGTAACTTTGATTAATGTTTTATTTCAGTAGGTTGTTTTAAATCTTGTTGGATATCTTTTACTATAAGGAGTAACACTTTTGACATCCTTGTTGAAACACTGGAACTTCTCAATTAAACAAATGGGAAATGGAAGGTGATCCTTTTCCTAAATGGTAGAATGAAATGAATGGAAATATTCATTTGTTTGAATATTGATTGAACTTGTTGATTCAATGGTCTGCTGTCTCGTGTTGCTTGATTTTAATCTATGTCTTGCATCAATTTAATATCTAGCTTAAAATGACAATGAGCTTGCAAAAACAAGTTTATTTTCCAGTGGAGACACAAGTGCTTACATGCTGTAGAAGGAAAAAGTAATTACATTTATTCTTAATTTTCTACTGATGTTTGGTCTTTCCCCTGTTCATTGTTTCCTGTTATCCACCTTTTAGCCAGCACTTCTACTTTATTTTTCCAGCATATCTTGTATATTTTACTTGACTAGCTACGTTTTTCCTTTTGTTTTTTTTTTCTATTTATTTATTTAAGATTTCTCTTGTTTCTTTTCAGATAGCAAATTATTTTCCTTTGGATGAAGACTTGGATTACCCTGCAAAGCTGGAAAGATCTGTGGCAGATAATCTTGAAACTACTTCTGTAAATTTTTTGCCATTTCCTTTTTTTTCTCTTTGACATATAGTATATTTTTAGTTATGTATCCCTAAATTATATCTTATGGGACACCAGCACTTGGCTTAATAATTTTGATATTCCATTATGTAATCTTCCATGCCCTCAATGAGTTACTTGTTCAGTCTGTTGATATTGGTAGGTCACTTATTGAAATATCCACAACCGAGAGACAAACTATGGGTTCTAGAGATGCCATTCAGTGACCCAAGAGTTTATTTATCACTTCTTTTGTCAAAGATATCCGTTAGGTTTGCAGTCTACCTCTAGGACACTAGTATGCCTTTGCCCGTGTAAATATTTCCAAGCTGATCATTTCTACTGTTAGCTCCAGTTCTGTGTCATTGTTGGCTGCTTTAATGGACTCACCTGTGATTATTTTTTTGTCAAACAGCAGGCTGATGAAAACCTAGTCTTCAAAACGTGGTATCCACCTCTAGAGAAAACGATATCTTGCCTTTCAAAGTTGTATCGCTGTTTAGAGCCAGGAGTTTTCACTGGTTTAGCACAGGTATTTAAGCCTTTGTACAGCCACCACATGTTATACTTGTCTTAAATAAATTCCCTTTATATGAATTTTGTTAAACACTTGGCTTTTATTTTTGGTCTTTCAGGAAGTGGTTGAAGTTTGTTCAACATCTATCCAGGTGAATAGTTCTACACTAATTTTTTTATGTAACTCTGCTGTCGTATAAGTTATCCGTGTTTATAAAGATGATGGGATTTGGTTAGTGTTGCCTTAATATGGTGACAAAAGTTTGTCTTTCCTTTCATTTGCCAGAAAGCGAGCAAACTCATTGCAAGGAGATCATCACCAATGGATGGTCAGCTTTTCCTCATAAAGAATCTTCTTATCTTAAGGGAGCAGGTGATCCCTCATTTCTGCTGTATATATCATAAGTGGTTATTCTTTTAAAAATGACTTATTAACACATTTGTTTTGTCTTCACAGATTGCACCATTCGATATTGAGTTTTCTGTCACACATAAGGAACTCGATTTCTCACACTTGCTGGTTAGTTCCTCCAAAGCTAAATTTGTCCTATCCAACTGCATTATATTTTTATTAGGGTTTCAAAGAGCAGGGGAAATGGTGCATTGTTGTAGCATCCATTACATAGAGAAGTGGCCCACAACCCCACTAAGTGGAGCTAATTTATTCTTCTCAAATAACTCATAAGTTCTCTAGTTTAGGTTTCGTTTTTACCCAACCAGACAGGCATGTTTCATCAACCAAGATGTTTAGAATGTTTATGTGGTTTAGGTAACAATGCATCTTCTTTTTTTATGTTGAGAAAATGTAACAATGCATCGTTAAAAGTTCCCTAAATGCCTGAAATTCGATGGAATAGAAATCTTAATATTTTTCAATCTCCTTGCGCAGGAGCATCTAAGACGAATTCTTAGAGGTCAAGCCTCTTTATTTGATTGGTCCAGGTCAACTTCACTGGCAAGGACCTTATCTCCCCGAGTTTTGGAAAGTCAAATAGATGCTAAGAAGGTTTGTCAATTTTCCTTTCAATCTATGATTTCTTATTTCAGAGCAAGGTTTTGTTTTTATTTGTTGTCACTTTGGGGTTCATTTTCTGTGGATGCTTCATTATATTAACATAATTGGTCTTTACCTCACTTCCATTCCTGCTAATGTACTTGCAGGAATTGGAGAAAAGCCTGAAAACCACTTGTGAGGAGTTCATAATGTCAGTCACTAAGCTGGTTGTGGATCCTATGCTTTCATTTGTTACCAAGGTTTGTGTTTGTCGCTTCTCCCTTAGTATCATGGCTGGAAAATTGTCTTGTATTTTGGAGCTAATGAGAGACCAGACACTTAGATATAAGTACACAAGTAATAAACAAACAGAACGTTAGAATAAATTGCCTAATCATGTCTAAAAGATCTTCATTGTGCCTTTTTATAGGTCACAGCTGTGAAAGTTGCAATGTCATCTGGCAGCCAGAATCAAAAGGCAGAGTCGGTTATGGCCAAACCACTCAAAGATCAAGCTTTTGCAACTCCAGATAAGGTGGCTGAACTTGTTCAAAAGGTATGCATTTCAAATAATTGCTGTGGTGGAGAGCAATGTCAGTGAGGGCTGTGTATATATTTGTTTGCTGGGGTTCTTGTTTCACATCAAAATTGGCATTGTTTGGGACATAGGACTTCACATATTAAAATAACTTCTCCAGTCGTAAGGTTCAACTAGAGCTAATCCCCGTAATGCATATCTGGAACAGGTAGCTGCTGCTATTCAGCAAGAGTTGCCAATAGTAATGACAAAGATGAAGCTTTATCTGCAGAACCCATCAACACGAACTATTCTATTCAAACCCATAAAGTAAGTGCAAGATTCACATGTACAAGGCACAATTTTATGGTTTTTGTTTTCCACATGCACTCCTCGGACTGATTAAGTTGATATCAATTATTTATATTCCTTTAGTAACATTTGGAACTGACGATTGGATGCTTTTAATTTGGATCTATGCATTGATAATATCTATCACGCCCAACATCTCAACAAGTTGCGAACTTTTTTTTTTTTTTTAATGCAGGACAAATATCATGGAAGCTCATGTGCAAGTACAGTCCCTGCTAAAGGCCGAGTATTCCCCCGAAGAGATACAAGGCATCATAAACATGCCTTCCATACAAGAACTTCAAGCACAACTGGATAATCTCCTTTAGAGTGTTTGTGAACTTAAACGTTGTTCTTATTAGCTGGATGATCTAGAGGTTGTTATTGTTAGATTAGAGAAATGCTGCAATATTGCAACACTTTTTTTGGTGAAAGGACGAATTTATGTATCAGTTTTGGCTTCAGATAATCAGCCGATGGGTAGTGTTATAGGGTGTTTTATCAGCCAGATTGCTCATAGGCTGTTTCAGTGAAGCACATTTTCTATTTTTGTGAACGGTCATTCTTTTTATATAAGAGATTCAGAATATGCTATTTGCAACTGGAAAATGGGCCGTTGCCCGATAACTCACCGAGGCGCATAGAATTTAGCTCTTGCCTGAGCTTATGATAACACGAGAGATTGAGACCTTGCCGATGCCTGAGCTTGTCATTAGCTTGCTGCCCATGCCAATGAATTTAGCAATCAAAGCAAATATCACTTGTATAAAACTAAACGGCAGAAAACATTCATCAAGATACAAAATTTGGCAAATTTGGCGCCCTCTGTCATTCAAAGAAAATAATTATGTCTTCCAATCTTCCTTAGAAACTAAAAATTCCTTAAAACTACTTTGGATGTTGATAATCTTGATTTGACCGTACGCAACAACATAATTGCACGTCTCCTTCAAACCAGTATGAAACAGCTTATGAGAATGTATATGTTTTATCGTTTCTAAACGGCTCCTGCACAAATAGATTTTTTTAAAAACATTATGACGGAAATTTTTGCGTGATTTCTCATCTTAGACCCCATTTCTCATCTTAGGGTTTAGGGATCATCACCACTGATTTAGTTTGTATAAATTATATAAACTAGTTTTTTTATATATTATTATTATAAATATGAACTAGTATAGACGTGTGGATCCAGGAAATTTGCTGTCAAGGAAACCGCTGGATCAACATCTAACAGTGGTCGTGCATTTAATATATACTTTCTCATTTTTACATTGGATTTGCCAAGTGATGGCTGAGCATCCAAAGATGGACTTTCCGAAGGGAATAGCCTGGAAGAGACAAAGATATCAACCTTGCTTTTTTTGGGTCTTAAGACAAAGATATCAACTTTGCTTAAGAAATATGCCTCGCGAAAAATTCCTTGCCACGTCTTCTTATAAAGAAAAAGTTTTCACATATGCCTATATCAAAAGAATTATTAAAAAATTGGCATTGGGAGCAAGACAAAGAAAACGAGAGAAATTGAGGCATATTGGTATATAGCTTTGCAGTGGACATTATTCATTCAGCTCAGATTTTCACATATACAAGTAAAAGTTGTTGAGATTATTCGGCTTAAATCTCGACATATACAGGCTAAAAGGTGTCACGGCTCTCCATCACCCTGCGCATTTTCTTCGCAAAGTTCAGATTGCGACCTACTAGCAACGATCGTTACGGGAGACCACTGATCAGGTACCATGAGAAAATAAGTGGTCATAGCTTTCCTGAAACGTTTCTTGTACTGCTGGGGTGAAATCACAGTGGGAGACGCATTCTTTGGTCCGCCGAGAAGGCCTGAGGTCTTCACCCAAGTTTCAAGGTGCTTGTCCCATGTATATTGCCTCACAAAATCAATAATCCCCAGAACTAGCTCATCCTTTTCCTCATCCACGCCAACAAGTAATGAATAGTCCATCACATCAATTGACTGGCAAAATAGATGAAAGTATATTAGTAAAACATGGATGCCACAAAAATCACACAACAAAACACTAGGATTTCTGATTGCTGAGAAAATATTAATACCACGACAGGGAGTTAGATCTAACTTACAGCAAGGAATGCAGTATCATTCCAGACAGCTCTCTCTAGCAGCCGCTTTGCCTTGTTACCCACAAAAATTGGAGAAGTTGGCATTGCTTCAATCAGATTCTGGTCCAGTAAAACTTTATTGCTCCCACTTGTATCTGGATTATAACGTGATCGAGAAGATCCTTTGAGATCATAAAGCCGTGTGACATTCCGTCTAAATAACAAATTCTCCATTACTAAAACATCCATCTTGGACTCTTTCCCTCCTTTACCATGCTTCGATGAAACCTTAATGACAAAAAAGAAATGAAGAATGTGAGTTAGACTGAGATATAGTGAAAAGTAGTATATCATATTCAGGATTTCTTTTTATGGTGAAACTCTTTTTTGGGTTGCAAGTCAAAAGAATTTGGTTTTCTCAATAGAGATTAGACAAGTAAGAAAATCCACATGAAATGCAACAAGATGTCCAGATTGAGATGTGAAAATGAATGAGGTAAGATATACTAATTGATCTGATTATAAGTAGTTGCTAGTTCCATATCTGAACAAGAAAGCAGCAGCAGGAGAAGCAGTTAGTTACCAAGGCAAATGATAATTTTATAGCTCAGGTTATAACCTCAACATAAAGTCATTAAGCATTTTGGTGAAAGCAAAAGCAACGAAGAATACCTGATAAATACCCAGGATCTTTGCCAGGCAAGTCGGGCTTCGAGTACTAATTGACTCTGACAAATACTTAAAATAAGATGGTGCAAACTTGATAAATGACTCCAGCTCCGTCTTTGTAACTTGTTTGATGATGAACCGATCATCCAAGGTTTTTGCAAAGAAAACATTGCTCTTTCCACCCTGGGCCCCCCACTTCTTACAACGGCTAAGAGATCGCACAAAATCTATTTCCGAAGGGCAGCATATCCTCCTTAAAGCCTCAAAACGCGTTGCATAGTAACAAGTCACTGTATACTTCACCTTGCCAAGGGGGCCATCATCTGTAAAAGAAACTCTAGCATGTAAATCCTTTGACAAGAGTGAGTCCAAAGCCTGAGAGCTCCGTGACCGTGACGTGGATATGAGGCTCTCATCAGACGAACCAAGATTCCTGTAGGTCTCAGAAACTGCCTCGTCAAAAGAGGTAAGTGAGAGAAGATTTGCTGAATCAAAAAGCGGTAATGAGACTGAAGAATCCAGAGCATCTTTTGGTCTCTCAGACTCAGAGATCTGCAAATGGTAATCTGGCGAGACAATTGCATATGCAATAATACTAGTGGGTTCATCATCAAACACAGGGATAACAGTGTCATTAACACCAATAGGCAGTAGCAGCCTGGCACCACTTTGCCGTTCCAAATCCCGGAACAACGGAACATAGACAGGATTGCCCTCACCAATAAAGAGCTTCTGAGCATTCAAGGAAATATTTTTGTCGAATCCCTTAAGATGCAATGTAGAGCTAATAGAATGAGTTACCTGTACCCCAACTTGGTCAATGGTACAGTTCTGCAAATCTGAATTAGATGCAACTTTTCTTATTGCAGTTGGAGAATTTACTAAGGTTGAATCAGGAATAGAATAGCCATTGTCTTTAGGTATTGTACTAGTTGGATGACTTTCACCAGTCCAAGCTGCATCAAGGGTATCAGATAAATTTGCCACTGTTGGACACTCATCCCCTTCTGAGAGGGCCCTTCGTACACTTTTTCCAGATTCCAATGGATCAGATTTATCTATGACATTTGGAAAGGAAGGAGTGGAAAGATCAGCCTCATTACTATGATTCAGGTCCAGACCCATTTCAGTTTTGTTCTGAACCCCTCCAGGCGGGCTAAAGTAGCCAACATCTCCTCCTTGATTAACATTGATATCGGCCTTTGTTTCCAGAAGAGAGGAATCACAATTACTAACTCCTTTACCTGGCTTGGAGTTTGTATTTGTCTCAGCAAGCTTCTCCATAGAACTGAGAGGTTTCTCCTTGAGTTTCGGAAGGGAACTGCTCAAACCTTCCTGAAAACCTTTGTTACTTAAACTGGCAGCATGAATCAGGCGTTGGTCCCAAATGTAAGAGTGGAAAAGCAACTGCCTCCGCAATTTATTGATCTCAAGAATATCAATTGCAGGATGGCCAAACTTCACCTCCCTATGCATAACTTTTCGTAGTGATTCCTAAACAATGCCATGTCACCAGTGAGATAGCAAATAATGCAAATAATAGAACTTCCTTAACAAGTGAAAAAGGAAATGAAAATTTAATAATGCCGGGTAGACTTCGAGTACGAAGGAGCAGGTGGAATAGGGGTGGGATTCAAGTGAACTACCTCAAAGTCTTCTCTTTCCTTTTGAAGCATCTCTTCAAGTTCTGCAATTTGATGACTTGATTCAGGTGCTTTCTTACCACCATCCTGTGTCCCTGCAAGTGGTCTCTTCCCTAAAATTTGATTAAGAGCATTGCGCAATTCAGTAAATAGAAGCTCTGCCCGATGACCCACCTAGTAACACAAGATCAACAATCTCATAAGCACTGAGAAGTTTAGAATCACTTGCTATAGCAACTAAGATTTAAAAACTGCACCTCCTCTGCTTCTTTTTGTATCCATTCCTGATTATCATAGTAAAATTCGAGTTTGGATGGTGGCAGATAAACAGAATGAACATGAATTGAGGCATAGCTGAAGCAAGCAACCATTCTCCCGAAACTGTACACGTAAGAACAATAGGATAAGAAGATACCAAATAACGTTGCTTTAGTGTCTAGATGAGAACTTAGAAAGAACAAAAAGAAACAAAGTGATGCAACAGAACAAGTTTTTCTCTGAAACTAAAAGGTAAACTGAGAATGGTGACAAGATGTCTTGAAGTCTAGACCACTCAACCCAAGAAACCCAAATCAGAGCACCTTGAGTTAACAGTTATGAAACCACCCTGACTAACCTACAGATGTCTAAGCTGAGAAATTATGACAAAATTATGAATGTAGTGTCTATCTGGTACAATGATAAACAAAATTTCATACACGTCCTGACTGTTTTCTTCTTCAACATTTTCTATTTGGTGGGGTGGACCGAGACCGGTTAGTGCAAGTTTCAGCAGTTCATAAGGGAAAATACATACCCATAAAACCGAAGACAATCTCTGTGAAGGGAATGACCACAGGTTGCGACTCTGTTTGCAGCTGCATGATTTGAAAAGCTCAATTCCAAAAATTTCCCAAAAGATAAACCCCAAGCAGCATCTGACATGACTACTCTGCGAGTTGCTGGAGGAAAGCCATTGGTTCGAGGACATCTCAAGCACCTGTGCCACATCCAAATTTTGCCTTCCCTTTCCCCCGGTAGCAAAGTCTCTGGGAGTTTCTTAACAGATATTGTAAGGCTCCCTTGTCTGTGAGTATAACAATGAACATGCGCTTCTGATGGCATCCCACATGAACGACAAAGGTAACTCTAATAAAGAAGAATGACAACTTCATGTTATGATAGTGCTGAAGAAAAATATATTTCATATCAACTTAGCA